AGGCGGAGAGTTCTCCTCTGGCCTTCTGCGAGCCTACTCTCGTGCACGAGGCATCCGCTAGACCTTCACGCTTCCGGCCTCTCCACAGCAAAATGGGATTGCTGAGCGCCGCATTGGCATGGTCATGGACGTCGCCCGTACGTCCATGATGCATGCGGCTGCCCCCCATTTTCTGTGGTCGTTTGCGGTTCGGTACGTGGCGCATCAGATCAACCTTCAGCCCAGGGTCTCCATGCCGGAGACCTCCCCAGCTTTGCTGTGGACGGGGAAGGTTGGCGATGCGTCTGCGTTCCGTGTCTGGGGATCTTGGGCGTTTGTCCGCGACTTGTCTGCGGACAAGCCGTCCCCTCGTGCTGCTCCTTGCGTCTTCCTGGGTTTCCCCTTTGACGCGCCAGGGTGGCAGTTCTACCACCCCACCTCTCGCCGTGTTCTGTCCTCCCAGGACGTCACGTTCGACGAGTCGGTCCCCTACTACCATCTCTTCCCCTTCCGCACTCCGTCCCTCCCCCCGCCACCGCTCTTCCTTGTGCCAGGTCCCCCCCCGGTAGACCCCCCCCCCCCTCAGGGTCCTGCCCCTTCAGGTGTGTCCCAGGTAGACGCTCTTGAGCCTGTCGAGGTCGCTGGTGACTCTGGTGCTGCTGAGGGTGCTGAGCCTGGGGGTGCTGACTCTGGGGGTACTGAGTGTGTGGGTGCTAGGCCTGGGGGTGCTGAGCCTGGGGGTGCTGAGTCTGGGGGTGCTGAGCCTGGGGGTGCTACGCTTGGAGGTAATGAGCCTGGGGGTGCTGAGCCTGGGGGTGCTGAGCCTGGGGGTGCTACGCCTGGAGGTGCTGAGCCTGGGGGTGCGGAGCCTGAGGGAGTTGGGCCTGCTAGTGCTGTGCCTGGCGGTTCTTCGGGTGCTTCTTCTCACCGGGAGCCACTCTCTCCACAGGAGCTGCGTGAGTGGTTTGCCCAGCGCTGGAGGCGAGCTGCTGGAGCTGGAGGTGCTGCGGGTACTGGAGATTCTGTTGCTGCTGAGGGAGCTGGTGCCACGGGTCCCGGAGGTGCTCGTACTGGGAGTACAAGAGCTGCTGGACCTGCGGCTACTTCTGGAGCTGGAGTTGCTGCGGGTGTTGGCGCGGAGGCTACTACTGTCGGTCCTGGAGGCGGTCCTGCTGGGGGTACTACTGGTGCTGCTGGAGGTACTGGAGCTGGAGCTGCTACTGGTGCTGGTGCTGCCACTGGGGGTGCTGGTGCTGTCCCTGCTGTGTCTGGAGTCGCCGCGCGGCCTCGACCGTACTTCGTTCCGCTCCTTCAGCAGGTTCTTGGTCTCCCGTCTTCTACTGGTCCTCCTCCTCCCTTAGAGTGTCCACAGCCTGTCCCGTCGCAGTTACAGTTACATCCGTCCTCCCCACTGCCTGCTCCGTCTCCCTACACTGGTCCTACTGGAGGTCTTGCTGAGCGTCGTGAGCCTGCGTCTCGCCCTGCGTCGCCTGTCCGTGCTGCTTGCACTAGTGGTCGCGGTTTGCGCCAGCGTACTCCTCCTATCGCTGGCACGCACCAGATGTCTCTGTGTCCGTCCACTGCTCCTCTACGTGCCCCTTTGCCTTCTCCTCCTGAGTCTTCTCTTCCTGCTCTTGCCGACTCGGAGTCGGACTCTCTTCGTGCTGCCAGTCCTACCCTGACGCGTCTCCTTGCTACTGTTGTCACTGACCCTTCTTTTGAGTCCACCGCTGCGTCTGCCCTAGTTGCTGAGCTCGTCGACTTTGCTGCTCGCTGTCGCCTAGACTACGCCGCCAGTCTTGTTGCTGAGTCTGAGTCTGTCTGTCCTCCGTCCGTCGGGGGTGAGTGTGCCCTTGGCACGGACGTCCTTGAGGACAGGCAGGAGGAGTTCCAGTGCTTGGCCGCTGCTTCACCTCATCTCGTGTCCGTACTGCTTACCCCTGAGGGAGACCCGGATTCACTTGACATCCCGACTCCGCGCTCTTACGCGGAGGCGATAGAGGGTCCCTACTCCTCTCAGTGGCAGGCAGCTATGGACGCAGAGATGGCTTCCTGGAAGTCCACAGGCACCTACGTTGACGGTGTTCCCCCTCCTGGGGCGAACATCGTCAGTGGCATGTGGATTTTCAGGGTGAAGCGACCGCCGGGTTCTCCGCCTGTCTTCAAGGCGCGTCACGTGGCTCGTGGCTTCACTCAGCGGCAGGGAGTTGACTACTTTCAGACCTTCTCTCCCACCCCGAAGATGACCACTCTTCGGGTACTGCTGCACATAGCTACTCACCGTGACTACGAGCTACACTCTCTTGAGTTCAGCACTGCTTTCTTGCAGGGCAGCCTGCACGAGGAGATCTGGCTGCATCGCCCACCTGGCTTCACTGGGTCTTTTCCTCCTGGCACCCAGTGGAGCCTCCGGCGGCTAGTCTACGGTCTCCGTCAGACACCGCGAGAGTGGCACGACACACTGAGGACTACACTTGCGGCTCTTGGCTTTGCTCCCTCTACTGCCGACCCGTCGCTGTTTCTGCGCAGCGACACTTCTTTGCTGCCGTTCTACATCCTCGTATACGTCGACGACTTGGTCTTTGCCACAGCTGACACTGCTGGACTCGCCCACGTGAAGTCCGAGCTGCAGAAGAGACACACGTGCACTGACCTGGGTGAACTGCGCATCTACCTTGGCTTGCAGATCACCTGGGATAGAGCACGCCGCACCATTACCGTGACTCAGTCACACATGGTGCAGCAGGTCCTTCAACGCTTTGGTTTCACGTACTCCTCGCCTCAGGCCACTCCTCTGCCTACTCGCCACTCGCTCTCAGCTCTGCCTTCGGATGAGTCCGTAGAGTCGAGTGGCCCGTATCCAGAGCTTGTTGGCTGCCTCATATACCTGATGACCTGCACACGACCTGACCTTGCATACCCTCTTAGCATTCTTGCACGCTATGTTGCCCCTGGGAAACACAGACCGGAGCACATGGCTGCAGCGAAGAGGGTGTTGCGCTACTTGTGCAGTACGTCGGGCATGGGGCTTGTGCTTGGAGGGCAAAGTCCAGTGGTCCTCATTAGGCACGCAGACGCTTCTTGGGCTGACGACCAGGCTACACAGCGGTCGTCACAGGGTTACACCTTCTGCCTTGGTTCCGGCTCTGTCTCGTGGCGGGCTACTCGCTCGTCTTCTGTTCTCGGCTCCAGTTGTGAGGCTGAGATCTACGCAGGAGCCATGGCTGCACAGGAGCTTCGCTGGCTCACCTACCTGCTGACTGACCTCGGAGAGCCGCCTCGTTCTCCTCCAGTGCTGTACGTAGACAACAAGGCCATGCTGGCCTTGTGTCGGGAGCAGCGACTGGAGCACAGAACGAAGCCTCCGCTACTTTCTTGCTCTCCGCTACTTTCTTGCCCGTGAGCTGCAGCAGCGTGGTCAGCTGCGTCTTGCGTACGTGGCCTCTGAGGCCAACACTGCTGATATCTTCACCAAGGCGCTTGCGCCTTGTGACCATCAGCGCTTTCGTACTCAGCTGGGCCTTGTGCCTTCCTTGCCTCACTTGCTCACCTCTTGACCTTGCTTGTATTGTTACATATATATATACCTGCTCTTGCTTGTCTTGCCTACTTTATATTTATGTACTCCTGCATGTGAACTGGCCTTGTGGCCTTGAACTTGTGCTCGGAATGTGTGGTGACTTTGTGATCCACCCTGAGCTTGCTTTGCTTTGCTTTGCTTGACTGGTCTTGTGACCCCTTGTTCTCCCCCACTTTGCCTATGGGGGTGTGTCAGAACATTATAGCTCATGCATATTGTGTAGGCTATAGTGGGGTAGCCCATAAGGGGTACAACCCAATTAGGGTTAGTACTTGTACCCAATTCATTCATAGTTCATTCATTCTCGTTTCTTCTCAGTACGAACCCTAGGTATGGCGAGAGTTAGGAACGAGAGTCGAGAGAGAAGGCCAAAAAGAGGGAGATTCAATATTGAGCGAGGGTACAAATAGGAAAGAACAAACAAGAAAGGTGCACCACCAAATAGGAAAACGCTATAACTACAGTAACCAATCCTACAGGCAGTTACATATAGAAAATATTAACTTATATTTTCCGACAAGCAGCAGCGCGTGCGGGTAGGGACGCTCGCGGGCAGGCAGCGTGCGCGCAGGCGGGGGCCTCGCGAGGGTAGGGGCGCTGGCAGGCAGCGCTAGCGGGCAGGCAGCGCTTTCAGGCATGCAGCGCTCGCGGGCAGGTGGCGCTAGCAGGCAGGCAGTGCGCGGGCGACAGGCAGCGTGCGTGCGGGCAGAAGGCGCGCGTGTAGCAGGCAGCGCGCTAGGGGAGGCAGCGTGCGTGGCAGCAGGGCAGCGCGACCCTGTTCGGGCAGGGCAGGGCAGCGCAAGGGCGCTTCGGGCAGGGACAAGCGGAACGCTAGGTGGGCCGTAAAAAGAACCAACCGTTAACCTGCTCTGGAACCATTTTGAGAGTTAATAATGCAAGAATGAGGTTGGACTAGGAACAAGGAGATACAAGTATGAAACCCTAATTGGGGTTGTACCCTATAATGAGCACCTCATTGTAGCCTAGTAGAACTAACAACATATAAATATGTTCTGACAAATGGGTCCAACTTTTTCTATAGATTTTGCCCATTACCGTCTTAGTGTGCATCTAAAGACATGAATGCTGTTCGTTTTGTAAGGTAATCGTTCTGTAAACGGAGATGTCTATTGGCACACCTCAGGATCATCAGTGAACAAATCCCTCGGTTTTGGTTTCCTTCATCAGAGGTGATTTGTGTTCCATGGACCTCGCGTATCGAGAATACGAGCAGGCATGGTCTGTGCGAGGCGTGGAACCACATTAGAACGTCGCTCGTCGAGACCACCGGCGCTCGTAGTGGTATTCAGGCCGCAGCATCAGATCAGATTCCAGAGAGGCCAGCATTAGTCCGTATTAGTGACTTACGTCAGTCTGTCCGTACCAACATTCTTGTAGGATACACTATCAGCGAACGCGGCTCGGAAGACTATTCCTAGTCATGGTTGGTTACAGAGACGCGGCGTTTGGCACGTGGATTGTGAACAGAAATGGGTCTGCGACTGGGGTCTTGCAGTCTCCCACGTGGCATTTCAGCAGCTCTGTGGACCTGAAGCCTGAAGATTTCAGCTGGCACGTGGCATGTGCGTAAGCCTCGTCGCGACGACCTTATTTTTTGCTCGCGAAGTTACCGCTTTCTCCTTACGGTTAGCGATCGCCTGCCTCATAACGCAGTACTCTTTAGTTGATTAGTTAGTCATAATGAATGCCAACCAGTGAATTATCTGGCAGCACATCGGCGAAACACGTGGCCGTCACGACTTCCGTCATTTCCTTCAGTCCATGTCAATCTCGACGGACTGACCAACGGAGGAGCTTCTTCGAGCCACTCTTGACCAACTGATACTTGAAAAACTACACTCGTCTCAGCTTACCCCTTCCTTCAAACACCTCTCTGCGACACTTTCTTCAAGCTTCACCTTTGCTGTTGTCTATTTCCACCCGTTTAGCCTATAACTAGCCCCTCCTCCCCACCCTCAGCCGACCTTTTATTTCCCCCTGATTCCACCCTTGCTGTTGTCTTCCCTACCCTCTATCCGTCTTATCTCCCCTCTTTTCGTCTTCACCTCCCCCTTATCCGTCTTCGCTTCCCCTTAACCGTATTCCGTTCCCCCTATCTGTCTTCGCTCCCCCCTATCCGTCTTCCCCTCCCCCCTATCCGTCTATCCTCCTCCCTATCCGTCTATCCCTCCCCCATATCTGTCTTTCCCTCCCTCTATCCGTCTTCCCTATCCGTTCTCCGCTCCCCCCTATCTGTGCTCCCCTCCTCTTTTTCTTCTTCCCCTTCCCCATCCCCTACATACACACATGGCCGACACACACCTCCTCCTCCTCCTCGTGGCCCCTGCCTCCCTCCCCTCACCACTCTCCTTAATCCCACCTGCCCTCCCGGTCCCCTTCCCCTTTTTCTCCTCATCCCATTCCCCCCATTCCTCCAGGGACTCTTTTCCTCAAGCTCTGCGCCTTCGTCTGGGCGCACCTCTCGCCCTACATCACGCCAGCCCTCGAGCCCTTCCTCCCGGCGTGGCAGCAGCAGTGGGCGACAGTGCAAGCCGTGCTCATGGACCCCTGCTCGCAGCACGCCCTGATGGCCGACACACACCTCCTCTTCCTCCTCCTCGTCGCCCTCGCCTCCCTCGTTCGCGCCCTCCAACCCGCCCCCCGCCTCGGCCCCGGCGTCACACCCGAGCAGCTGCAGCAACAGCACTGGCTGCACCACCGGCGCCACGTACGCGTTTTAGAGGGGTCTCTTTACACGGTCACAGTGGTGCTGACCATGCTGGTAGGGCTGGCGAATCTGGTGGTTTCCCTGTGGTATGTCTGGCCGGGGTGGCGGCCGGAATGGTCCGACTGCCCCATATTTGAAGACCTGCTGCCGATCGTGCAGTGTGTGGCGTGGTTCGGCATGTCCTGGTCGGTCATGGAGGAGAAAAGACAAGGTGCCACGTGGCACTTCTTCACTCTCCGCCTCTGGTGGACCTCGGTGTTTGTTCTGAATTCCTGGAGCGTGGTCTACTCACTCGTGCAGATGCACAAGGGAGTGCCGCTCTCAGTAGACGCAGCCCTTGGGATCATCGCCTGGCCCATTTCCGCCTTTCTTTTTGCAGTTGCTTGCCAAAAACCGCCGCCCGTTCACCGCCCGAACGAACCCCTGACTGAATCTCTTCTTTCTGGGCTGCCCGGAGTGGCAGACCAGCCGACTGACCCGGGGGTCACCCCCTGGGAGCGGGCAGGCTGGTGGAACGTTCTCACCTTCCAGTGGATCAACCCGCTGCTCGCCAAGGGGCACCAGAAACCTTTAGACCTGCCCGACATTCCGTTCCTAGCAGACTGGGACACGGCGGATGCTGCCCGAGAAGCTTTCTACCGCACGTGGGATCGAATCCGGCTCTACACTCCGCTCCAACAACCGTCCATCACGTGGACTCTATGGCTCACCTACTGGCGAAAGTTCCTGGCAATTGCGTTCTGGGCAGGGCTGGAGACGCTGCTACTGTACATAGGCCCTTCGCTGCTGGCGGAATTCGTGAGAGTGGTTGGGGGAGACGTGCCTGTGCTGACTTTTGACAGAGGGGGCGCTGCTGGTGTTTGTGCTGCTGGGGTTGCTGGTGATGCTGGTGCTGGTGGTGGCAGCTGCAGCAGTAGCTCGGGCAGCTGGCATGTTGATCTGGCTGGGCCGTTAGCAGCTCTGGGAACGAGCCTGACAGGGGCTTTTGGCTTGACGGGATTGTTTGGCTCTGCTGCTTCTGCCACTGCTTCTGCTGCTACCGCCAACCTCACTGCCACTGCCCAAACCATCGCCTCTGCCACCGCTGCTACGGCTGCTGCTGCTGCCTCTTCTGCTGCTGCCTTCGTCACCCAAACAGCAGCAAACGCAGCAGCAGCAGCGACAGACCCTGCAGCCGCAGCAGCAGCAGCAGCAGCATCAGTAGCAGCAGCAGCATCAATAGCAGCAGCAGCACCAGCCCCAAGCCCAGGCGCGCCCCCAGACGACCCATGGGCGCAGTGGGAGGGGTACTGGCTGTGCGGGGTGCTGCTGGGGTGCAAGCTGATAGAGACAGTCGCTCAGCACCAGTTCTACTTCCGCTCGGACATCCTCGGGATGAACGTGCGCGCGGCACTCACAGGCCATGTTTTCGATAAAGCATTGAGGCTGAGCAATGCTGCGCGCCACACACACCCGATGGGCGAGATCGTCAATTACATGGCGCTGGATGTGCAGGTGAGGGGATGGGTCCAGGGTTTGGGGTTTCTGGGTTTTGTGTTTGGGTATAGTTGTGTGCTTGTATGGGGTGCTGCCCGGGATGCTGCTGGGGTGCAAGCTGGTGGAGACGGTGGCTCAGCACCAGTCTTACTTCCGCTCGGACATTCTGGGCATGAATGTCAGAGCGGCGCTCACAGGGACGTGCTTGACAAGGCACTCAGGCTGAGCAATGCTGCGCGGCACACGCACCCCATGGGAGAGATTGTCAAGACGTGCAGGTGAGGGAATGGATGTTAGGTTTTGGGGTTCGGGTTTAGGCGTAGTTGTGTGCTAGCTTGGGGTGTTGCTGGGGTGCAAGCTTGTATAGACAGTAGCACAACACCATTTCTACTTCCGCTCCGATATCCTTGGGATGAATGTCAGGGCGGCACTTACAAGCCACGTGTTTGACAAGGCGCTTAGGCTGAGCAATGCTGCGTGCCACACGCACCCATGGGGGAAATCATCAGCTACATGGCGCTAGACATGCAAGTGACGGGATGGGGTTGGCGGGCTCAGGGTTTCGGGGTTTGGAGGTAGTTGTGTGCTAGCTTGGGGTGCTGCTGGGGTGCAAGCTGGTGTTGTGGCGAGAGACAAGCCCAGTTGTGGCGAGGGACAAGCCTAGTTGTAGCGAGTAGCCACAATTGGGCTTGTCTCTCGCCACAACTGGGCTTGTCTCTCGCCACAGCTGAGCTTGTCTCTCGCCACAGCTGGTGCCATCTTGCTTTTCATGTTGACAATTACAACAAGGTGACTGTAAGGGCTTTTCTTGTTTGCCTGTTGGGAGGCAAGAGGGTACTGGGTGCACCCTCGCACCCGTCCCCATTTCTCTTCTTAACCCCAGCGAGTAGTGGACATGATGTTTCAACTGAACAACCTGTGGACGCCGCCCCTTCAGATCGTGCTCGCGCTGCTGTTGCTGCTGCAGCGTGGGCCCCGCAGGCACGCTGGCAGGCGTGGCAACCATGGTGCTGATGATGTGGGCTCAGATGCTGGTGGCCATGTGGGGGTGGGGTGGAGTGGAGTGGGGTGGGTTGGATGGGTCCAGCTCAAGCACCACGGCAGGCAGACAGGCTGGCGAGAGAGAGATTTCATTTCATAGTCGGTAAACTCAACCAGTCTCTGCTCTTTTCCTCCCCCACCCACTTTCTCCTACTCTCCCCTCCTCCCCTTTCCCCAGAGAGTAGCAGACATGATGTTTCAGCTGAACAACCTCTGGACGCTGCCTCTGCAAATCCTCCTCGCGCTGCTGCTGCTGCACGCCACTGTGGGCCCCGCAGGCACGCTGGCAGGCGTGGCGACCATGGTGCTCATGATGTGGGCTCAGCTGCTGGTGGCGGGGCAGGCCAGGGAGTGCCAGAAAGAGCGAACCGCCTGGCAGGACTTGAGACTCAAGGCCACCACAGAGGCACTCAACAACATGAAGGTGAGTGTGGGTGGAAAGGGGGCGAGGGTGAGTACAAGAGAGCGGGAGAGAAAGAGTCAGAGAGGAAGAGAGAAAGAGCAGGCATGGCTAGGACGATGGTGCTGATGATGTGGGCGCAGCTGCTGGTGGCGGGGCAGGCGAGGGAGTGCCAGAAGGAACGAACTGCGTGGCAGGATTTGAGACTCAAGGCCACCACAGAGGCACTCAACAACATGAAGGTGAGTGTGGGTGGAAAGGGGGCGAGGGTGAGTACAAGAGAGCGGGAGAGAAAGAGTCAGAGAGGAAGAGAGAAAGAGCAGGCATGGCTAGGACGATGGTGCTGATGATGTGGGCGCAGCTGCTGGTGGCGGGGCAGGCGAGGGAGTGCCAGAAGGAACGAACTGCGTGGCAGGATTTGAGACTCAAGGCCACCACAGAGGCACTCAACAACATGAAGGTGTGGTGTGTCACCGAATAGATTGTTGTTTGCAATATATTCTGTTACTCGCTAGTGTAGGTGTAGTAGGGTTAATCGAAGTACTGTAGAAGGTGAGTTTGGTGCGTGGGTAGTGACGCGAAGTGGTGACCAAGGGACTTGCGAGGCGCAGGGTGGGACAAATTCAAGGGCGAGCCCTGGGCAATCCGAAGGGCCAATCTGAAGCCTAGCGGGCGGAGCCCAATGTGACTTACGGGAAACTGCACGGCACGGGGTAGAGACTCAAATAGGCTAGGAACTCACTGCTTGGCCCGTGACGTAGGGCCGAGGAGGATGGGGATGACCCTACGTCACTGTTCCTGGAGCGGCTGCGCAAGCAATTCCCAGGACATACGGCAGAGCGAATTAGGGAGCTTCAGGACTTCAAACGCAGGGAGGACGAGTCGCTGCTGACGTATTATGGGCGGCTCATGAACCTGGCCGAGGATGTGGTGTGTACCGACAGCAGCATGCTGATCAGTAAGTTCCTGGCAGGATTGGACGATGGGCTGGCCGGAGAACTGAAAATGAGAGTCTACGAGCTGGGGGCAGAAGCAACCCTGGAGGAAGTGTTTGAGCTAACAGAAAAGGTGGAGTTGGCACAGAGGCGTTATGAGGCATACCTGCCAAGGGCGGCAGAGAAGATGCGACCCACCTGGGCGGCAGCAATGACACCAGGGGCGGGAGGCAGAGAGGAGCAGCAACATGAGAGAAGGACAGACATGAGAACCTGCTACAGGTGTGGACAGCCGGGACATGTGAAGTTGAATTGCAAGAACTGCGACGTGTGTGGGAAACCAGGGCACCGCCGTCAGAACTGCCCTGACGCGCCAACCTGTGGGGTGTGTGGAAAGAGGGAGCATCAGCAGAAAGACTGTTATCAGAGGATTGGGGGAGCGAGGAGGTCACAAGAGGAGATAGAAACTCAGATACGAAGGCTGCGGGCTCAGATGCAGGCTTTGGGAGGCAAGACAGAGGAAGAAGCAGGACTGTACGCGAGGGAAGAGGAAGAGGAGGAAGAAGAGCAGGAGCCAGAGTACTCCTGTGCGGTGCTGCATCGCCATGAAGATATGGGGTGGCGCAGTGGGGGCAGGGACGGTAGAAGGAAGCAAGTGAGTAGGGTGGGGGCATGGGTGTGTGTGCAAGTAGCACCAGATTTGGTAGGGAAGAACGAGAAGGTGGGGGCATTGGCGGATGAACCAGAAGCGGCAGGCACGGAAGGGAAGGACGAGGAGGTGGGAGCAAGGGCAGCAGCAGAAGGGGAAGAGAAGGACGAGAAGAAGGGGGCAGGGGCGTGTGGAATGGTAGCAGCCGGCGCGGAAGGGAAGAACGAGCAGGTGGGGGCGGGAGCGTGTGTAACAGCAGCAGCGAAGGTAGAGAAAAAGGAAGTGCAGGTGGGGGTGGGAGCGTATGTAACAGCATCAGCGAAGGTAGAGAAAAAGGAAGTGCAGGTGGGGGCGGGAGCGTATGTAACAGCAGCAGCGAAGGTAGAGAAAAAGGAAGTGCAGGTGGGGGCGGGAGCGTGTGTAACAGCAGCAGCGAAGGCAGAGAAAAAGGAAGTGCAGGTGGGAGCGGGAGCGTGTGTAACAGCAGCAGCGAAGGTAGAGAAAAAGGAAGTGCAGGGAAGTAGGATGGCGAAGCAGCATGTGCGGAAGCTGAGGAAAGAACCTCCACAGATGCTGGGGGCGAAAATGGTGAAAGAAGCCGTGAGAGGAGCTGAGACAGGTGTGAGCAGCATGAAAGTGGAGATGGTGTGCGACTGGGGGCAAGGAGACCTACGGGTAGGAGGATGGGAAGGTCCAGTGTGGGCCAAAGCTCAGGAGCGGGAGGAAGCAGAGAGGGAGAACAAGGAGGTGGGGACATGGGAGTGCCTGCCTGCAGGGGAAGAAGTAGGGCACACAACGGGAGATGCGATGAGTCCGGAAGGAAAAGAGGCCGTGAAGACAGTAAGGTGGAGTAAGCGAGGAATATGGGAAGCTGAGGCGATGCAGCCAGCAACACAGGTGCTGCCAGGACCAGCGGGAATGAAAGGGGCTGAGAACTGGGTGGCATGGGAGGGAGCCAAGGCAGTAGAATTCCTGGACGAGGAGAAAACAGCAGCGGCGGAGGTCATGCGTACAATAGAGTTGCGAAATGCACACGTACAGGCACAAGCAGAGACTGCAGCAGGGCGACAAAAACGACAGCTACGCCAGCGGAAGCGAGACAGGAAGCCTACCTGCAGAGGGGGATACTCGGAAAGTGGTACCGGACACACAGCGAAGGGAGACGAAGGACCTGAGGCGTCCAAGAGTGCTGGTGCTGAGGAATCAGAGAAGAGAGTAGACAGGGTACCATATGACGAATGCTGCAGTGGTGAAAAGCCACCGGCCTCAGCGAGAGTGTCCAGTGACACGTGCACGGGAGACCCGAGCACGAGCTCTGGAGGGGGCAGGTAGTGGCTGAGGCAGAGCAGGTAAGGTATCACAGGAACAGAGCTCAGAAGAAGAAGGAGCGAGGGTGAGTCCGGGAAGGAGAAGGCAAGCCACGGGAAGCAACAGAGGATGAATCTCCGACAGGTGCGGAAAATAGTGGGTAGAGAGTGGATAGACGAGAGAGAGAGGAGAGGGGTTGGCTGATGATTGTGGACGAAGAGAGTGGTTATAGGAGGGGCAGAACATGATCTTGCTCGTGACAAACGTCCAGGTTGGAAGTCGCCCACCTCCCCCTCCTCACTCCCCACCCCCCCCACACATGCACGTGGGAAGGGCGGGTAAAACTGGGCTGAGGAAGCTGCATCTTCTCTTGAGGCGCCTCTAAAGTCGCCTCAAGAGGCGCCTCAAAATGCATCTCTCCGCCTTTCCCCTCCACACACCTCTCCCACCCCCTTCTTCCTTCTCAGGTTATAAAGCTGCACGCGTGGGAGGGGCGGTTCTTGGAACAGATAAAGGATTATCGGGCGAAGGAGGTCGCATGCCTGCATGCTGAGGTTCCTTTATCGAACCTCACCCCCCACACCCCCTTTCCCCCACTCCTCTCCCCCTTTCCGCCCTGCCACCCCCCGCAGTTGATAAACCTGCATGCGTGGGAGGGGTGGTTCCTGGAGCAGATAGAGGACTATCGGGCGGAGGAGGCGGCATGGCTGAATGTTGAGGTTCGTTTATCCAACCTCATCCCCCACACCTCCTTCCCCCACTCCCCCCTTCCCCCCCACCCCATCAGGTGATAAAGCTGCACGCGTGGGAGGGGCGGTTCTTGGAGCAGATAGAGGACTATCGGGCGGAGGAGGCGGCATGGCTGGCGCGCTACAACTACCTCATGGCGGCCAACATCGTCTTCCTCTGGATGTCGCCTCTCCTCGTCGCCTCCGCCACCTTCGCTGCCTGCGTGGCCTTCGAGGAGCCTCTTTCCGCTGCCTCCATTTTCACTGCCATTGCCACCTTCCGGATCCTCCAGGTGGGTGGGATACGGATGCTCTCTCATGTCATTCCGCCCATGCTCAGCGTGCCATGGCCTAGGTAGGCCCTGCCCTATGCCCTAGGACCTAGGTGTGCGCAGCCTGGCATGGCTAGCGCGCTACAACTACCTCATGGCGGCCAACATCGTCTTCCTCTGGATGTCTCCTCTCCTCGTCGCCTCCGCCACATTCGCTGCGTGCGTGGCCTTCGAAGAACCCCTCTCTGCTGCCTCAATCTTCACTGCCATCGCCACCTTCCGGATCCTCCAGGTGGGTGGGAATCTGATGCTTTCTCATGTGATTTCGCCCTTGCTGAGCATGCCATAACCCAGGTAGGCTCTAGGCTCTCTCTAGGGGAGTGCAGCCTGCATGCATGGCTGGCGCGCGGCAACCACCTCATGGCGGCCAACATCGTGCTCCTCTGGATGTCGGGGAGGGAGGGAGGTCTCTCTATGAGGAAGGTGGCCTTTAGGAGAGCAGCGTCAGACAGTGGGGTGCCTAGGTTCCTATCTTTGTCCCTGTTGTCTGCCGCTGCTCTCTGTTCGCACTTATTTTCTGCGTAGCTCTTCCCTTTCACACCTTATCCTGTATTCCACCTTCCCTTCCATTCCACTGCCTGCTATCTACTTCATCTCATGCTCCCACACTCATCTCCTCCCACTCCCGTCCGTGCTCCTGCCTCCCTTCCTTTCCCCGCTATTTTCCACCCCTCTGCCTCACAGGAGCCCCTCCGCTCGTTCCCAGATGTTCTCTCCTCCATCTCTCAAGCACTCGTGTCTCTTGACCGCCTCGCCAGGTAAGGCTGTGCCTCCAGACTGCTTAATTTCCTGCTCGCTGGGTATGGGGCGAGCTGTCTTACAGTTGCGAACCCCAGGTATTCGCAATGGTGGCATTGCTACACATCTGTTCTCCAGAAGACTGCCAGAATGTTCCTCAGCAGGGCTGTTCCTCAGCAGGGCTGTTCCTCAGCAGGGCTGTTCCTCAGCAGGGCTGTTCCTCAGCAGGGCTGTTCCTCTGCTGGGCTGTTCCTCTGCTGGGCTGTTCCTCTGCTGGGCTGTTCCTCTGCTGGGCTGCTCCTTGCTCCATGCTCCCTGAACCCTCCCCCTCCATATCGCCCTCTCCATTCCCCATTCCCATTCCTATTCATCCAGGTACCAGTCAGCGCAGGAGATCGAGGTCACAGCAGTCTCATGGCTCTCCCCGAAAGACACAGAGGACGCTGTCTTTGTCGACGGGGGCACCTTCACTTCACCTAAGATCTGCCCCCCTCCGCACCCGCAGCACATGCACCTGCCCCATCCCGACCCCCATCCCCCTCCCTTTCTGCTTCCTCACACCGACGCCCTTGTCCTTGCAGGTACCAGTCAGCGCAGGAGATCGAGGTGACAGCAGTCTCATGGCTCTCTCCCGACGACACAGAGGACGCTGTTTTCGTCGACGGGGGCGCCTTCACCTGGGACCTGCCGCCCCGCACCTGCAGCACATGCACCGCCCCAACCACATACCCTTCCTCGTGCCGCTTCCCATCCCTGCCCCCATTTCTCTCCCCACGGCAGGTACCAGTCAGCGCAGGAGATCGAGGTGACAGCAGTCTCATGGCTCTCTCCCGACGACACAGAGGACGCTGTTTTCGTCGACGGGGGCGCCTTCACCTGGGACCTGCCGCCCCCGCACCTGCAGCACATGCACCGCCCCAACCACATACCCTTCCTCGTGCCGCTTCCCATCCCTGCCCCCATTTCTCTCCCCACGGCAGGTACCAGTCAGCGCAGGAGATCGAGGTGACAGCAGTCTCATGGCTCTCCCCGGAAGACACAGAGGACGCAGTTTTCGTCGACGGGGGCGCCTTCACATGGGACCTGCCGCCTCCGCACCTGCAGCACATGCACCGCCCCACACTGCGGGGCATTGGCATGCAGATTGGTCGGGGAGCGAGAGTTGCTATCTGTGGGCCCGTTGGGTCGGGCAAGTCGAGTCTGCTCAGCTGCATCCTGGGGGAGATGCACAAGCTTTCCGGGATTGTGAGTGTCCCTTGGGAAGGGGGGCATCGGCATGCAGATCGGCAGGGGGGCGAGAGTGGCTATCTGTGGGCCGGTGGGGTCGGGCAAGTCGAGCCTGCTGAGCTGCATCCTGGGGGAGATGCACAAGCTGTCCGGCATTGTGAGTAGAGTAGAGTCTGCGATCAGGATCTGGGGGGGTATGACTAAGGGTGGCTATCTGTGGGCCTGTTGGGTCGGGCAAGTCGAGCCTGCTGAGCTGCATCCTGGGGGAGATGCACAAGCTGTCGGGCATTGTGAGTCGAGTATGCGATTGGGATCGTGAATATGAAATGAACCACCATGCACAACAACTCCACCATCTTTCGCCTCTAGATGAGACACAGGTCCCCTCCAGAGTCTCTTCCTCACTTGGCTTTGGAACTCCAATAAAGGGACTCCCCTTGACGTCCTTATTCCCTCTCTCCCTCACCCCTCGCTCTCCCTCATGCCCTTGCCCTCCCTGTCCTTCTTCCTCTCACCCCCTCGACCCGTCAATTCCTCACTCCATAACTCTCTCACCCCGTCATCCCCGCCCCCACCCGTGCTCTGCAGGTGCAAGTGGCGGGCACCATAGCACACGTGCCGCAGACCCCCTGGATTCAGAACGGCACCATCCGGGACGTCACCTTCGGCCTGAAGATGAACCTCCAAGCAACTCAAAAGTCTCCCTCTCACTCTCTCACACCTTCACTCCTTCACCCCCTCACTCCCTCACTCATTCAATTTCTCAACCCCTCACTCCCTCCCGGCCTCTTTCCGGCAGGTGCAAGTGGCGGGCACCATAGCACACGTGCCGCAGACCCCCTGGATTCAGAACGGCACCATCCGGGACGTCACCTTCGGCCTGAAGATGAACCTCCAAGCAACTCAAAAGTCTCCCTCTCACTCTCTCACACCTTCACTCCTTCACCCCCTCACTCCCTCACTCATTCAATTTCTCAACCCCTCACTCCCTCCCGGCCTCTTTCCGGCAGGTGCAAGTTGCGGGCACCATAGCACACGTGCCACAGACCCCTTGGATTCAGAATGGCACCATCCGGGACAACGTCACCTTCGGCCTGCAGATGAACCGCGCCCTCTATGAGCGCGTGCTGCGCGTCTGCGCCCTCGCTGCTGACCTGGCAGGTGCGTCAGTGCCCTCACTGCTGACCTGGCGGGTGCGTCAGTGCCCTCACTGCTGACCTGGCAGTTGTGTGAACGCCCCCTCACTGATGACTTTATTTCCAGGTCAGAATGCGTGTTTTTTTCTGAGCTGCACCCAAGTTTCATGCACAATTGGTGCTCATTTTCACAACCCACCTGGGATCCCCACCTCTGTGCTGGCATCTGACGTGGCAGTGCTGCCACGTGGCGACGAGACGGAGATCGGGGAGCGGGGGATCAACCTATCGGGCGGGCAGAAGCAGCGCATACAGGTGGCGAGGGCCGTGTACCACGACGCTGACATCTATCTGCTCGACGACCCCTTCTCCAGTGTTGACACTGCAACCGGCTCCTTGATATTTGATGTGAGTGAGTTCTCACAGTCTTCCATCATCTCATCTCATACAGTCCATTACAGTGTATTACAGTTAAGGTGAGCGTGCCCGTTAAGGTGCATTGCAGAAGCAGCGCATCCAGGTGGCGAGGGCCGTGTTTCATGGTAGTATTGGCGAGGGGAGTGGGGGATCAACCTGTCAGGTGGCGAGGGCCGTGTACCACGATGCTGACATCTACCTCCTCGACGACCGCTTCTCCAGCGTTAACACCGCCGCTGGTTCATGATCTTTGATGTGAGCTGGTTCATGATCTTTGATGTGAGCTGGTTCATGATCTTTGATGTGAGCTGGTTCATGATCTTTGATGTGAGCTGGTTCATGATCTTTGATGTGAGCTGGTTCATGATCTTTGATGTGAGCTGGTTCATGATCTTTGATGTGAGCTGGTTCATGATCTTTGATGTGAGCTGGTTCATGATCTTTGATGTGAGCTGGTTCATGATCTTTGATGTGAGCCCTTTGGTTTTAGCTCGGTGCCATCAATGCATGCTTGGGGCTCGTCTGTGTGCCTTGATGGCACCGAGCGTGTCCACTGCCTCCACCACCAGGAGCGGTCCACTGCCTCCACCACCAGGAGCGGTCCACTGCCTCCACCACCAGGAGCGTGTGCCAGTCCTGGTGGGTAGCCTGACAATCAATTGGAGTTTGAATCAAACCCACTTACCACTCTCTCTCCCTGTTCCTTCTCCTCACCTGTGTCCACTATTCCCCACTACCAGGAGTGTGTGTTGGGTCTGCTGGGGGCAAAGACGGTTCTCTTCGTGACTAATCAGCTTGAGTTCCTGCCCGCTGCTGACCTCATCCTGGTGCGTGCTGATGTCATGCTGGTGTGTGATGATGTCATGCTGGTGTGTGATGATGTCACCGTGCTGGCAGGGAACATTTGTGGTGGTATTCTCACGTTTATGCTTCACTTCACTTCCTTTTATCTCGGACCCTATCCACCCTCGCTTGGTGCACTCACCACAATCCACTGCATGTGTCCACACTTCCTCTTCCTCCCTCCCACCAGGTGATGCGCGATGGGGAGATAGTGCAGGCAGGGCAGTACGAGGAGCTACTGCGGGCGGGCACAGGCTTCTCCCTCCTGCTCGACTCTTGCATACTCCCGAACCCTCGCCCTCTCCCCGCTACCTCCCCCAACCCCCACCAGGTGATGCGCGATGGGGAGATAGTGCAGGCAGGGCAGTACAAGGAGCTACTGCGGACGGGCACAGACTTCTCCCTCCTGCTGGAATCCCCCCCCCCCCACCCTCTCACCATCCCCCACACCCACCCGCCCCCATTCTCCCCCACAGGTGATGCGGGACGGGGAGATAGTCCAGGCGGGGCAGTATGAGGAGCTGCAGCGGGCCGGCACAGACTTCTCCCTCCTGCTGGACGCCCACAACAACGCCATGGGCTCCATGGACCTCCCCCCTTCCAACCCTTTCCAACCCTCCCATACCTCCCACCACCACCTGCAACCGCAACGCGCCCCTTCCCTTGGGAACATCCTGGCTGCCAACGGTGACGTGTTCTCGCGGTTTGACATGGACGATCAAGAGCTGGCAACACTGCTGCTGGGTCCCCAGGCCGGGCCTGACGGGCTCGGGCTAGCCTCGGGCGGAGGCTCGGGAGGGATGGGAGGCCCAGGGATGGGTGCGGGAGATGGTTTGGGTGGTAGGGCGAGTGGGGTTGCTGCGGATGGGTCGCTGGTGGGGGTGGTGGGTGGGGCGGGAGGGGTGGTGGTGGGACCGATGGCAGCGGTGGCAGCGGCGGTGGCGAGTGGAGCGGAGGACCGGCAGTTTGGGCGGGTGAATGCGGAGGTGTACCGGGCGTATCTCACGCGGGCGTATGGTGGATCCATGGTTCCCATCATTGTGGCTTCGCAGGTGAGTGACTTGAGGGGGGGGGGGGGGAAGAGCTGACTCAAGGGGCACCACAGGGGTGAATGAGGAGCGGAGGACCGGCAATTTGGGCGGGTGAATGCGGAGGTGTATCGGGCTTATCTTACACGGGCGTATGGCGGATCCATGGTGCCCATCATTGTTGCTTCGCAGGTAGGTAGGAATCAGGGGGTGCTTGCCGAGAGGGAAGGGAAGGTAGGGGGAGTTAACTCCAGTGGTGCCAAGGGGTGAAGGGGGGGCAGGTTGCTTGGTTAGGCAGGTGAATGCGGAGGTGTACCGGGCTTATCTCACGCGGGCGTATGGCGGATCCATGGTGCCCATCATTGTTGCTTCGCAGGTGAGTAACTCGGGGGGTGGTTAAAGCTGACTCAAGGGCCGCTGCAGGGGCGAATGAGCGGCAGAGGGCAGGCAGTTTGGGCGGGTAGATGGGCCGGGCGTATCTCCCGTGGGTGTATGGCGGATTCATGGTGCCTATGATTCTGGCTTCCCAGGTAGGAGTCAGGGAGTGCTCGCAGGGAGAAGAGGAGAGGCAGCAGGAGTTAACTCAAGTGGGCCCACAGGGGTGACTGGGGAGCAGGGGGCAGGGCAGGTTGCTAGCCTAGCCTGGGCGCGTGAATGCGGAGGTGTATCGGGCTTATCTCACACGGGCTTATGGCGGATCCATGGTGCCCATTGTGGCATCGCAGGTGAGTGTACGGAGGGAGGGAGGGGAGATGAGAGTTGGCTTAGCTCAAGAGACACCTCTTTTGAGGCGCCTCATAATATTTTTGAGGCGATTTTTTAGGCGTCTCAATAAATGAGAGTTGGCTTAGCTCAAGTGACACCTCAGAAGCTCTTCGCTGCTGCTCGCACAAGCATCCGCAAAGTTGTTGTCTCCATTCCTTCTACCCGCCCATCATCCCCCCCTTCCCTCCTCCTCCTCCCTACCTCTCTCAGGTGCTTTTTCAGGTGCTTCAGATGGGCGCCAACTGGTGGCTAGCTCGGGAAGTCCAACCCCTGCATCCAGCAGTGCTCACCTGGCCGGACGTCCGTGCCTACGCCTCGCTCGGCATCGGCAGCGGCCCCTTCGTTGTCCTCCGCGCCTTCCCGTTTGCGTATGCAGCACTGTCATCTCCTTTCATTCCTCCCTCCCTCCCCTCTCTTCCTCCCCCTCCTCCCCCCTCCCCCAATTCCCCCCCCCTGCCTCCCACCTACCCCTCTCAGGTGCTTTTCCAGGTGCTTCAGATAGGCGCCAACTGGTGGCTAGCCCGAGAGGTCCAACCCCTGCATCCAGCAGTGCTCACCTGGCCGGACGTCCGTGCCTACGCCTCTCTCGCCATTGGCAGCGGCCTCTTCGTCGTCCTCCGTGCCTTCCTGTCGGTCCATGTGGGGCTGAGAACGGCTGATGGGTTCTTTCAGGACATGCTGCACGCTGTGTTCCGCGCCCCCATGGCCTTCTTTGACTCCACCCCCACGGGAAGAACCCTTGCTAGGGTAAGTGCTTGAGTCCTGGAGGCACGCTGTGAGTATAGCAGTCATACAGTCCAAAGCCGCCTCCTCTCCGTGCATGTGGGGCTGAGAACAGCGCCTTTTGAGTCGACTCAAAAGTCCTCTCCGTGCATGTGGGGCTGAGAACAGCGCCTTTTGAGTCGACTCAAAAGTCCTCTCCGTGCATGTGGGGCTGAGAACAGCGCCTTTTGAGTCGACTCAAAAGTCCTCTCCGTGCATGTGGGGCTGAGAACAGCGCCAGGGTTCTTTCAGGACATGCTGCACGTTGTCTTCCGCGCTCCCATGGCCTTCTTCGATTCCACCCCACTGGGCGAACGCTTGCGAGGGTGAGTTCTGGAGTCCTTTCAGGCATCAGCGAATCAGAACGCCCTGGCTGGACTTGCAGCTGTTCATACTCCACTCCACTCTCACTCCGCCTACCCATCCTTTCTCTATTTTCTGTTCCCCCCTTCTCCTTCCGCCGCCATCAGGCCTCAGCCGACTCAGAACGCGTTGGGCTTGCAGCTCTTCTTCAACTCCTTTGTATTTCTCTTCATCCCTCTCCACTCCTTCCTCACCACCTGCCAGGCATCAGCGGACCAGAACGCGCTGGACTTGCAGCTCTTCTTCAACTTTGTTGTATCTCTCTCTATCCCTCCCCGTCACTCTCCCCTTCCTATCAGGCATCAGCGGATCAGAACGCCCTCGACTTGCAGCTCTTCTTCAACTTTGGCTCCGTGCTCAACAACCTCGTGCAGCTTCTGGGAATCTTCCTCGTCACCTCTGCCGTCACGTGGCCGGTCATCGTCGTCCTCATCCCCCTCGCGCTGCTCTATGTGCCTCTGCAGGTGGGGTAGGGTCTATGTGCCTCTGCAGGTGGGGTAGGGTCTATGTGCCTCTGCAGGTGGGGTAGGGTCTACGTGCCTCTGCAGGTGGGGTAGGGTCTATGTGCCTCTGCAGGTGGGGTAGGGTCTATGTGCCTCTGCAGGTGGGGTAGGGTCTATGTGCCTCTGCAGGTGGGGTAGGGTCTATGTGCCTCTGCAGGTGGGGTAGGGTCTACGTGCCTCTGCAGGTGGGGTAGGGTCTATGTGCCTCTGCAGGTGGGGTAGGGTCTATGTGCCTCTGCAGGTGGGGTAGGGTCTACGTGCCTCTGCAGGTGGGGTAGGGCTGGTTGTGGTGCCCATGCACTCGTAGCGCGCACACAAGTGGTTATTTGCAGGGTCCATCCATCTATGTGCCGCTGCAGGTGTGAGGTAAAGGCACTGATCCAGGTGAACTGTTAATGAGGTACCTATTCGTGTGTTTTTGCTGACATACTGGCAGCATGCAGCGTGCTGTTGTTGCCATCTCTTTTATTCTCTTCTTACCTGCCACTGCCTTTGTTTAGGCGCCTCAAAAGTAATATCGTATTGCATGCCACAGCAACTAAATTATTCTCATAACCCTTAGCCATACTCCTACCTAGGGGCATGAGCACAGAACCGAACCGTACCGAACCAAACCGAATCGGTTTCTGTGTTCTCAAACCAGAACCGGTTCGGGTCGAACTGGCTTGTGAGCATGGTGGTTCTTTGTTCAACCCTTATGGGTAAAATTGTACCAGTTTGAGCTAAGCCGTCGGTTTGAGCATAGCTAGCCCGCAGCCACGGCAAATCGCCCATCCTTCTCATATGTGCCCCCGACTTTCCTCCCTTTCTCCGTCCCTTTGTCTTTCCTCCCCCTCCTCCTCACCAGCGCTACTACCTCTCCTCATCAAGAAAGCTCACCCGAATCGACGGGCTGACCAATTCGCCCATCCTCGCGCATTTCTCCGAGACGCTCGCCGGGGCGGCAGTGATCCGCGCATTCGCCCAGGAGGAGCGGTTTGAGATAGAGACCAGCCTATTCCTCCGTCCATCTTGCCTCCCTTACCCCCTCTTTTTTTCCTCACTTCTGCATTCCTTCCCACACCACACCCACCCACCCTCCCTTCTCACCCATCCCCTGCCAGCGCTACTACCTCTCCTCATCACGAGAACTCACTCGAATTGACGGGCTGACCAAGTCGCCCATCCTCGCGCATTTCTCCGAGACGCTCGCCGGGGCGGCAGTGATCCGCGCATTCGCCCAGGAGGAGCGGTTTGAGATAGAGACCAGCCTATTCCTCCGTCCATCCTGCCTCTCTTACCCCCTCTTTTTTTCCTCACTTCTGCATTCCTTCCCACACCACACCCATCCACCCTCCCTTATCACCCATCCCCTGCCAGCGCTACTACCTCTCCTCATCACGAGAGCTCACTCGAATCGACGGCCTGACCAAGTCGCCCATCCTCGCGCATTTCTCCGAGACGCTCGCCGGGGCGGCGGTGATCCGTGCGTTCGCCCAGGAGGAGCGGTTTGAGATAGAAAATGCGGATGCGGTGGACAACAACATGCGCGCCTACTTCCACTACTATGGCGCCATCTATTGGCTGGGGCTGCGATTGGAGACGATTTCAGCTGTTGTCCTTGCCTTCGTTGCATTCCTGCTGGTGCTCGTGCCTCAAGGCACCATTGAACCAGGTAGGGGCTTTTGTTTCTGGGTTCAAATCGGAGGAGTGATGGGTGCAGTGCGGTGAGCGGTTTGAGATAGAGAACGTGGATGTGGTGGACAACAACATGTGTGCCTACTTCCACTACTATGGCGCCATCTACTGGCTGGGGCTGCGACTGGAGACGATTTCTGCTGTGGTGCTCGCGTTCGTGGCGTTTCTCCTGGTGCTTGTGCCTCAGGGAACCATGGAACCCGGTACGCACCATCTCTTAGTACTATTGTTACAAAAGGCAGCTGGAAGAGTGAGGAGAGACGAGTGTGCAGGGAGCGGTTTGAGATAGAGAACGCAGATGCTGTGGACAACAACATGCGAGCCTACTTCCACTACTATGGCGCCATCTACTGGCTGGGCCTGCGATTGGAGACTTCTGCTGTGGTGCCCGCGTTTGTTGCGTTCCTGCTGGTGCTCGTGCCTCAAGGCATCATTGAACCAGGTAGGTGCTTGTTCCTGGGTTCGATTCGAACTGGAGGAGTGATGGGTGCAGTGCGGTGAGCGGTTTGAGATAGAGAACTCGGGCGCTGTGGACAACAACATGCGCGCCTACTTCCACCACTATGGCACCATCTGTGCCGTAGATAGATGACATGATGATCAACATTATCACTCCCCTTTTGAGGCGCCTCAAAAGACAACGTGCGCGCCTACTTCCACCACTATATGGCGCCATCTGTGCCGTAGATAGATGACATGACGATCAACATTATCACTCCCCTCCTTTATGTTCGTTCTGTGCCTTCCACCAGGCTTAACAGGGGCGGGCGGGGCGTCCCCCCCTACGGCCTGACACTCAACATGGCACTGGTGATGACCATGTGGCATCTCCCAATCAACGAGAACCATGAGCTCACATCTTCTCCCACCTACCCCTCCTTCTTCGCCCTGTTCTTTCTGTGCCTTTCACCAGGCCTAGCAGGCGTCTCTCTGGCCTACGGTCTAACCCTCAACATGGCGCTAGTCATGACAATGTGGCATCTCTCCAACCTTGAGAACAAGCTGGTGGCAGTGGACCGCATCCGCCATTTCTCCGCCATCCCCTCTGAGGCGCCCTTGATTGTCGAAGGCAACCGGCCCTCTGCTGACTGGCCCAACCGCGGCTCCATCAGCTTTGAGAACCTGCAGGTGAGCCAGGTTGCCCAGCCCACTGCTTCTCAGCTTGTCGCTGTGTGGCTGCTTTTGGGGCGATTTAAAAGCCCAAATGTGGAAGAAATCTGTTGTCTCCAACCTTGAGAACAAGCTGGTAGCAGTGGATCGAATCCGCCATTTCTCCGCCATCCCCTCTGAGGTTCCCTTGATCGTCAAAGGCAACCGGCCTTCCGCCAACTGGCCCATCAGCTTTGAAAACCTCCAGGTGAGCCCAGCCCACTGCTACCCAGCCTTGAAAACACGACTACAGCTTGTAGTGGAGAGCTGCAGAGTAGCTGACTGGGCCTGTCGAGGTTCCATCAGCTTCGAGAACCTTTGGTTGAGCCCCCTGCTGATTTTTGAATCAACTACAAAAACTGAGTTTTGAGTCGAGTTTTGAGACGACTCAAAACTCGACTCACTACACGCGGACTCAAAACTTGACTCACTACACGAGAACCTTTGGTTGAGCCCCCTGCTGATTTTTGAGTCAACTACAAAAACCTCCAGGTGAATCCTCCGATAATTTTTAAGGTGGGGTCTTGAAGAAATTTAAAAGAACCTCCAGGTGGCTACATGGAGATCTCTTAAGACCTTTGCAACTATCCTATGCTTCTCGCCCCTTCCTTGTTTCCATCTCTCTATTTTCACACAGATGCGCTACAGGGAAGCCATGCCACTGGTACTGAAAGGCGTGACAGTAACCTTCAGAGGTGGTGAGAAGGTGGGAGTGGTTGGCCGCACAGGCAACTCAAACTCTCTCAACCCTTTTCTTTTTCCCAACTCTTTTCATCGCCACATTATACCCAGATGCGTTACAGAGAAGCAATGCCGCTCGTCCTAAAGGGTGTGACAGTGACATTCAGAGGCGGGGAGAAGGTGGGAGTGGTCGGCCGCACGGGCAGCGGCAAATCCACCCTCGTCGTCGCTCTCTTCCGATTGGTCGAGCCGGTGGGCGGCCGAGTCATGATCGACGGCGTGGACATCTCGACCATCGGATTGCAAGATCTACGGTCCAGATTGGCCATCATCCCACAGGATCCGACCCTGTTCGAAGGCACGGTTCGGTCGAACCTGGACCCTCTGGGTCGGTACCATTCCAGTTTGCTCTGGGAGGTGCTCGAGAAGTGCCAGCTGGCAGAGGCGGTAATGGACAAAGAGGACAAGCTGGACGCCATTGGTGAGTCTTGTCGTTTCCTCACTCTCCTACTCACCTGCCCCATATATTTCGTGGCGCCTAAGGAATCATCTCATCACACCTGGGAGGTGCTGGAGAAGTGCCAGCTGTCTTTCTTTTTGGGCACTTCAAAAAGAGAAGTGCCAGCTGTCTTTCTTTTTGGGCACTTCAAAAAGAGAAGTGCCAGCTGGCAGAGGCAGCTCTTTAAGTAGCCCTAACACGTGCCTAACTCTCATTCCCAGAATGATTTTATCTTCTTGCAGTGGTGGAGGGTGGAGAGAACTGGAGTGTGGGGCAGAGGCAGCTCTTCTGCCTCGCCAGAGCTCTGCTCAAGCGCTCGCGAATCCTGGTGCTGGATGAAGCAACTGCGTCCGTTGATTCGGCCACCGACGCCATCATCCAACGGACCATAAAGGAGAACTTCGCCCGGGCGACGGTGATCACTGTAGCGCACCGCATCCCCTCTGTGATCGACTCCGATAAAGTGCTCGTGCTGGAAGCAGGTGAGTCGGGGGCGTGTGTGTGCTCGGGGGGGGGGGGGGGGGGGGGGGGGTTCTGTTTTGAAGGTACATTGTAGCGCACCGCATCCGCTCTGTGATCGACTCCGATAAAGTGCTTGTGCTGGAAGCAGGTGAGTGGCGGGCGTGTGTGCATGTGTGTGTGGGGAAAGGAGGGAGGTGCGCTTATGTGAGGCACATCAACGCACGATATCTGTAGTGCACTGCACATATAATATTTGATCGATTTCCGTGAAGTGGTTGTGCTGGAAGCAGGTGAGGTGGGCTGTGTGTGCATATGTGTGTGTGGGGGTACTTTTGTGTAGGAGGCACCTCAATACACAATATCTGTAGCTCACCACATCCCCTCTGTAATCGACTCCGATAAAGTGCTTGTTCTGGAAGCAGGTGAGTGGGACTCTGTTTGTATGGCTGGGGAGGGGGAGAGGGAGGAGGGGGAAGAGGGAGGCACTCTTTTGTGTTTGAGGCATGTCAACACACGATATCTGTAGCGCACTGCATGCACCCTTTGATCACTCTTTGACTTCAATGAAGCAGGTGAGGGGGGCTGTGTGTGTGTGTGCATATGTGAGGGGAGCTGTGTGTGTGTGTGCATATGTGAGGGGAGCTGTGTGTGTGTGTGCATATGTGAGGGGAGCTGTGTGTGTGTGTGCATATGTGAGGGGGGCTGTGTGTTTGCATATGTGTGGGGGTACGTTTGTGTAGGAAGCATCCCAACACACTATATCTAAAGCGCACCACATCCCCTCTGTTATCGACTCTGATCAAGTGCTGGTGCTGGAAGCAGGTGAGCGAGGGGAATGGTGTGAGGTGACTTTTGAGTCGACTCAAAAGTCACTTAGTTATTGACTCTGATCAAGTGCTGGTGCTGGAAGCAGGTGACGGAGGGGAGTGGTGTGGGTGTGTGCGTTGTGCACATGTGGGGGTGTGCGTTGTGCACATGTGGGGGTGTGCGTTGTGCACATGTGGGGGTGTGCGTTGTGCACATGTGGGTCTGTGGGCGATTAATTGTTTGGGACGTTTTAAAAGTCCTTACTGTAGCCCCACCGCGCGGCCCCTCTGCACATTCATCATATTCGTGCTCCCACCACAACTCGCATTCATGCCCTCAACCCACATTTTGCATTCATACCTCCTCATTCTCCGACTAAATTCCAGTTTCGCTGCAACCGCAATGCTCCTCATAGCAGCTAGTCTCTATCCCCACCTTTTCCCTTGATCAGACTGTCTCTACTTGTCATCTCCTCTATTCACTCACCTCTCCCCACTCCTCTCCCTTTGTCTGTCACTCTCCCTCCTGGCGTATCGTTTTATTGCCCTCTTTCCTCTCCGCTTCCACTGTACTCCAAACCCCACTTCCCCTACTGCCCATCAGCTTGCACTGCACGCACGCATCTCACTCTCTGTTTTGACCTACTTTTATTTGATTTGATTTGGTACTACCGGTACCGTCTCCTTTGTTTGGCTCTGCAGGAAGAGTGGAGGAATTTGACTCTCCTGTGCGGCTGCTGGCCAATAAGAGATCGCTCTTCTCACAGTTAGTCGCAGAGTACTCTAAGCGCACAAACACTGTAGCAAACCTAAGTGCCATGGTGCGCATGCCACGCGATTATTCAAGACAAACCATGCCCTTAGATGACTAATAGTACTAACTGATGTAACATGTGCTCACATGATGGCGCACATGCCATGGTGCGCATGCCTCTTGACTGACCAAGCACCTGGATGACTAGTAGAGGTGCAGCATGTAAATGTAACTGATGTTTTTTTTTTAGTAAAATGTATTTCCAATCGGCATTAACAGTAGGAGGTACAAATATATATACTGTAATGTACAATTCTTACTAAGGCAGCCTACATTACTGCTCGAAAAAGCTTTCCGCATTATAAGCCAGGCTGTCATAACTGCCTTCTCCTGAACTGGAGTTATGAGCCTATGCACGTGTTCTGCGGGACTATGGCTCCTGCTCGTTAAACTCATCCGCGGTATTAGCCTCTCATTACTGCGTTTACGCTGCAGTGGAGATACTGCCGTTCGGCCTCGCAAGATCGCATGCACTGCGTCCCCGCCTGGTCCTCGTTATAGACCGTTCGCGTTATAAGATAGCCTGCCGTACTCTCTCTATGCTGCATTGGCGTTATTTGCGCTTGGCATCGCGAGTTCGTACGCACTGCGTCTCCGCCTGCTGCTCGTTAAAAACCGTCCGCGATAAAAAAATTCCTGTGCCATCAAGGTAGGATATGAAGAAAGGTGCCAAGTTGTGGGCTTGTGAAAAGGTACCATACGGTACGGGTAGCTATATTCGTCTCTAGTCATTCCCTCCACGCCTTATCCCCTCTGTCAACGCTCTGCATCCCTCCCACCTTTTTCCGCTCCCCTTCCCCGTCCCCATTCCCCTTCCCGCGTCCCTCTCCGCCCACCATCCAGCCAGCAATCCCCCAATACCCCTGCTACAGCCTTCCTCACAGCAACAGCCTTCGCGAATCCACCAGCGGTTATTGAAGTCATCCCAGCAGCAATAGCCCAGCTGGTGTTACCAAGGATCGCGAATTCAGGGGAGCTGACGAAGTCACCAACGATGAGAAATGCAGCAGTGCTGGCGAATGCAGCAATTCTGGCGAATTCAGGGGTGCTGGCGAAACTGGCACTGTTACCACCGCACCCCGTTAACGTCTCTTCCTGGCGAAATGCCTCACCTGGGGTTGCAGAGCGACTGATTCCTTTGCCACGGGCCCTCTCTCCTGCCTACCTTTCGGGTGCGAAACTTCTTGGGCAGATGAACGGTCCTGTGAACAGTTTTTTGGGCAGTCGTGCTTGCTCAGCTGCTGCATCCATCGGCCATGATGCCTCTGCCAGTGTACTCGATACTGAAGGATCCGTTTCTGTTACAACCATTGAGGCGGAATCTCCAGTGACGAGTACAGGAGCCTCTGCTAATGTTGAACTGACTGTAACGAGTATGTCAGGTCTGCTGGAGGAGGCGGGTGGGAGGGGAAAGGGGAGGAGGGGGAGGCCTAAGGGGAGTGGGGAACGGGGAACAGGAGGGGAGGGAGGGGGAAAGGGGACAGTCAAGGGGAAGCAGCTAAGGTTACTGCTGGAGGAGGTAGGGGGTGAGGGATTGGTGGGGGAAGGTGGGGAGGAGGAGATAGGGGCAGATGGCAGTGTGGGAAAGAGAAACCCAGATCTAGAATTGCGCACAGTTGGTGAAGGTTCTATACAGAGTGACTCTAACGGTAGCAGTAACAATGCTGTGAGTGAAGTGGTTGTGGTGAAAAGAACGCGGGGCAGAAGAAAGACGGCTGAGCTGACCGAAAAAAAGGAGGAGGGGGAGATGGAAGGGGCGAAAGGGGGTGAGAACCTTGTGGCGGAAGCAAGGGAGGAGGGGAGAGAAGCAGACAGCAGGATGCAAACAGAATCGCCTGATTCAGTCCTTCCCACAACAACTGGTGGTGGTAATGATTCGATGCTGAGTGACTCTAACCAGAGTGAAATTGATGGAAGTGAAAGTCTGGTTAAAGTGGTGGTGGTGAGGAGAACGCGGGGCAGAAGAAAGTCTGCTGAGCTGACCGAAAAGAGAGAGGAGGTGGGGATGGAGGGGGGGGGAGAGGGAGAGGGGAAAAAGAAGACGGGGAGGGGGAGGCGGAAAAGCAAGGAAGAGAGAGTGAATGATAAAGAGGAGAAGGGAGATGTCGAGGCAGGCGATGACATGCGGATGGGTGTGAGGTCTGACAGTGCAGGTGCTGTGTGTGCTGATGTGGGGGAACCTATGAGTGTTGTGGGGAACCTTGTGTGTGTTGACATGAGGAGGGAGGGACCCAGCCTAGATGGGGGAAGTAACCACGACCCCCCAAGTGTGCACGGTGACACCTCTCTCTTGACTTTAGAGCCGCCTCAAAAGTCCCCAACAGTGGACGGTGGCGACTCTCTCTTGAAATTCCTCCTAAACCTTGCGCTAGAAGCGGTGGGCGGCAGCGACACGGAGGGCGAGAGAGGGCCACACGTACCGGCACCAACCGCACTGGACCCCATGGAATTGCGCAAGAGAGCGTGGCACGCTGATATATCCCAGAGGCATCCCAAGGGGGCTGTCATTTTGGGCGTGGACCCTGACGTGCTGGGGGCCGTGGCTGTGCTTTTTGTTAGGCCCCGGAGGAAACAAGAGGTGGAAAGTTGTGCTGTTAGTGTTGTCAACACCAGGAGCGGACAGGAGGAGCAAGGGGATGGTGTTGAGAAGGTGCTGCATGTTCGGTCTTGTTTTGAGGCAACTCAAAATGCTACGGCAAGTGAATGGGAGGAGAGGCTTACTGTTGCTGCTGCTGAAGCTGCGAGAGAGTGCGGAGGAGGAGGAAGTGGGAGAGGAGCAGTGGAAGAGGAAGGGGAGGGTGAGGAGGATTGTGAGAGAGTGTGGGAGGTTGAGGGGGAGATGGAGGGATGGACACGGATTCTGCCAGGAGCGGATTCTGCCAACGGGTTGGAGGAAGGGAGATCAACAGTGTATGGGCAGGTGGGTTATAGCCTATAGGTGAAATACTGTCAAAATTGGTCTTCAAAACGTTGCAAACTTGAAAATCTGCAACTCTAATCAGCTTCTATTCAAAACCCTGGTTCTGTAACACTGCTCTGCAAATTTTCAAAACTCTACAAAATTTACAAACCTCCGATCCATGACACGCCATAGGAGCCTGTATTTAAACCCCTGGTTCTGAAATCTTGCACTGCAACAAACCCTTCAATTTTTTTCACTTGTTCTCGCAGATCCATGACGTGCCATATGAGCTCGTATCCGTGGGTGCTTCCAATCGCAAGAGGCACTGCGCCCAGGCCATAGCGGCTCTCCTGCACCAGTTGCCACCTGCTCCAGGTATGAATGGTCTGGTTACCACCTGCACTGCACCAGGTGGGTCTTATGAGGCACCTCTAGAGGCGCAAGAGGCACAGCGCCCAGGCCATAGCTTCTCTCCTGCACCAGTTACCACCTGCACCGGGTGGGTTACACAGTTAGGTTGCACTCTGGTTACCACATGCATGGGTTTCTAAGGCCCGTCAAACATTGCCCCAGGCCATATCGGCTCCCCTGCACCAGTTGCCACCTGCACCAGTTGCCACCTGCACCAGTTGCCACCTGCACCAGTTGCCACCTGCACCAGTTGTCACCTGCACCAGTTGTCACCTGCACCGGGTATGCTATGGTCTGGTTGCCATCTGCTGCTTTCTTGCAATGTGTTCTGGTTTCTTCCCCTCACCTTCTTGTCACCTTCCTCTCACCTTCCTGTCTCCTTTATTCATCCTTCTTCTTGCCGTCATCTCGCCTTCCTCTCACCTCCCTCACCCTCCTCTCACTTTCCACTCATCTCCCTCCCACCTTCCTCTCAGCTTTCCCAACCTTGCTTCTGCAGAGCCCTAGTGGTTTCGCCTCCCTTCTCACCCTCTTACCCTCTTCTCCTTCCCTTCCTTGCCCCCTGCTCTTCTCCTCCCCTCTCCTCCCCCTTCCTGCTCTTCTACTGGCCCCATCTCCCCTCATCTTCTCCTTCCCTTCTCGGCCTCCCTCCCTCTCTCCACTCCCATCACCATATCAGTTCGCCTTGCCTATGTGGAGCAGGCCAGGCCGTTCCCCTCTGATGGCAAACAGGTGGGTTGGGATGGAGTGCAATAAGGTGGGATGGGGTGCAATCAGGTGGGATGGGGTGCAAGCAGGTGTGTCCTGCACTCTGAAGTGAAGTGCATCCAAGAAGAAGGTATTACTTCGACACATATTGTATTCTAGAGTGCATTCGGTGCTACAACTTCCCTTCATTCGGTGCTACAACTTCCCTTCATTCGGTGCTACAACTTCCCTTCATTCGGTGCTACAACTTCCCTTCATTCGGTGCTGCAACTTCCCTTCATTCGGTGGTACAACTTCCCTTCATTCGGTGCTACAACTTCCCTTCATAAGGAGCAAGGCCAGGCCTTGTGACGTGAAGTGAGACATTTTTTAGGCACTTAAAACATCGTCTCACTTTGAAGGCCTTTTAAATGGTGAGGCCATTCCCCTCTGATGGAGAGCAGATGAGATGAACGCTGTGCAAAACAGTAAATCATCCAATCCACCTCCTTCCACCCCTTACTCATCCTGCAGGGTTGGTACGGCTGTGGCTTTGGCTTCGGGGTGTGGATGGGCGTGTTGGCAGCAACTCCAAGCGCCCCTCTCTTGTTCACCCCCTCCCCATTCCTCCTCCTCCCTCCCCCTTCCCTTCCTTTCAGGGTTGGTACGGCTGTGGCTTTGGCTTCGGGGTGTGGATGGGCGTGTTGGCAGCAAGTGGGTTTGAGGTCACCGCAGTGACGTCTGTGCGATGGAAG